TGGCTGTGTGATGGCGACAATGACTGTGGGAACGACGAGGACGAATCCAACACCACCTGTTCAGGTACACAAACAAACATACCGAAATCTGACGTGTTTTTTTTTTTTTTTTTTTGTCGTTCACCATGTAACATGAGCTCCACACTGTCATGTCTTTTAGCTCGTACCTGCCCGCCTAATCAGTACTCGTGTGCTAGTGGCCGCTGCATCCCTATTTCCTGGACGTGTGACCTGGACGATGACTGCGGTGATCGGTCGGACCGCACCGGCTACCTGTGGCTGGTCAACATATTCTCGTAATATACAGTTGCTGTATAGCTGTCTGACATTTAAGTGTATTGTTTTTAGGAGGTATAAGCAGCAGCGTGTGTTAACTCTGGTTTTGTCCACAGCCTACCCCACATGTTTCCCCCTCACCCAGTTTACCTGCAACAACGGACGCTGCATCAACATAAACTGGCGCTGTGATAATGGTTAGTGTCTGTTCTTTATTCTCTCCTCTCTTTCTCCTGTGTGCCTGTTTACTTTAGCAACTCCTCTCTTTCCCTTTGTCACGGTGTGCTGTGCATGTTTTGCCACCAGCCCCATATTGGCTTACATTCTTCTTTTTGTCACCGTGTACATTTGTGCGTTTTTTTTTTTTACCATTTTCTGTTCTGTCTGTTGTTGTTCTGTCTTGTTGGTTTTGTCGTTCCATGTTGTGCCGTTCGCCCATTCTGCTGTCTTCCATTGGTTCTGTCTTTCAGAAAAGGATTGTGGGGACGGCTCTGATGAGTTGAATTGTCCAAACCTGACCGGTTAGTGCATAGATCAACATGCACCCCAACAGCCATGACGCTAGCTTAGTTCTAGGACTGATCAAGCTGGCTCAGGAATAAGTTAGGGCTGCTTTTCTACTAATTCAACATGGCCACAAGCTGAGGCCTATACTGCTGCCATTAATTTGCTATAGTGTTCTGCACACAGGTTTGAAGCTAAATTAGATTTGATATATTGTAAATGCATTATTCAGTCAGCCAAATACTTGGGAAACTCAAAGTGTAGTTGTTGTGTTAGCAATTTAAAGGAATGAAACTCAGTTTAATTCAGTATAGATTTAATAGAAGGCCAGGTTGAATGATAAAAAGTAGTATATCCCATAAAATAGATTTTCTTCTTTCCCCGATGAGTATGAAATTAAACAGCACTAAAGGTTATACATTAGGAGTGCGCTTTTATATTAGTATGGGTATAAAAGTGCTTATGATGCTCTGCTGCCAAGCTCAATGTATCAGCACTCGGTACATTCCCTCATGGTGCATGGTCTGATCTATGCAGTTTCTGTCATTATTTACTGTCTCATCTCTCATGTTCTGTTTCATTTGTATTCCATGGTTTCCACTGCCAATGGGTTAACTGTGAAAAAAAGAAAAGCAATTGCTTTCTGTATATATATATATAT